CACAATCTTGGCTCTTTTTCCAAGGCTGCAGGCCTGGCTGAAATATTCAGGAGTTAAGGAAGGTTACCTGACAGCTTTAGAGTAGTACCCAAAGAGTCCTTCATGTGGGTATAAACGGCCATTAAATGAAATGATGAATTTTTGAAGAATTTTTAAAACAGAAAATCTTGAAAAGGACCCGGCATCTTGTCGTGCTCAAGAAAAATCCACTCGGCAGCAGGTGGTTAGCACTGATTCTCAAGATTTTTTTCACAGGATGTAGTACATGTACTGTATGGTCCAGGACTCCAGTACTTACGCCACGTTCAAGGAGCTACACTACATGTACCTTAGACAAGAGTGTGAATGTTGGGCACAATCAGTGGATGTGCACTCTCCATCATGCTGTGTTATTGTTTGATCCTGGATGAAAGTTGTCACTTTACGTCCCTTTTAAAAAAAGCCATGAATTAGAAAAAACAGCTGATGAACTGATGCAGTGACAGATTGTACAAATCTACTGTTGTGCCTAACAGGAGTACACATTCCTACACTGTTCAGTGTGTGTTGGGAGTGATCTGTCAATATATGTGATCAGCCAATCTTTGTGCAATCAGTCGATTTCATTGCATGATTTGTCAATTATTCCACCACCAGCCAATCACCTTCTCTTTTTAAAGCATGGCTATGATAGATTGCTTCAAAAAAGGAAGTTAAGTTGTAGAGATTTCACGCAGGATCAACTAATCATGCAGAACGATTGGCATATCATGCAGATCTGTTAATCGTGCCCAACATTTCCACCGCTAATCATAATTCATTGATTGCATTCAGTATACATTTTGTGAACTGGGCAGTGATGCCTAAAGATGACATCTCTTCCCAAATTCACAGATGGGACAAATTGTGGAATACTCTACCACTTACATGTACATATCCCACCTTGAAGTTGGCCATGGAGTAAAGATCGACTGTTTACCCACAGTTAACAATCATTCTAACTTTGTGTTCTGAACAGATCATGTGGGCACCACCTCAAACCTTGTTGCCAGAAACTAAAAAGGATTTACTATGAGTGGCGGGATAGCCTTTCCGTTACTCCAGAGAAGATACCTACTGCCTGTGATGTACATCTACATGACCTAACGTCTGTGGCCATATGGTTACGTAGTCCCTAATGTCATCATTTCCTGTGGAAACCAGTCAGACTTCACAATCGGTGGTGAAATTTGGGACTTGGCCCAATTTCACAAAGCTGCAGAAAAGTCCTACTCCCTATAGCAGCAGATTTTGCTGACCATAAACACAATCTCATGGCATTGTGGGCAAGGTTCTGCTTATGTGTGCACGCGAAAACACACATAACACACAAAAACTCCCATTTCCAAAGATGTACTTTGTATTGGCCTATTGGAGAGAAGGAAATTTCTAATAGTGGGTTTTGTCCATACACTGAAGTACATGTATATTCATAACAGTGTGTGCTCGCTGTTTGTCTGAGATCTTTGTCTGAGCAATTTGCTCAGTACAACATTGAGCCAAACACTGCACTTCAGTACCATGACCAGAGCTCTTAGTTTGACACCAGTTCTGTGACTAAGATTTTAAAAATTAAGGAATACACGTGCATATTTAGGACTACCTGCTCTGCCCCGACCCAACTGTGGCAGACATTAAGCCAAACACTGCTTTTTAGTATTAGGGCCAGCTTAGTTTGTCTCCTGTGCAACTCAAGCACACGCAGAAACATAGGCACTCGTAATATGTGTAGAAAAAAGGACAGAGTAGAAGTTGGATATTTCACTTGACTCTGCCTATTGGTTGTACTTACAACCAATAAAAATGCTACAATTTTGGAGATGATCGCCCTACTGATACGAAGTACAAAGTGTCCCAACCATAGTTGGGATTTCCCCACTATGGTATCCCAATTGGCTTGTGACACACAGAACTGTGGCTGAGGCCCACCACAACTAACAACATGAGTCTGTTACACCCCAACTATAGTTGGGACAATCCCAACTGTAGTGCTGCAGTTGGGCTGGCCCAACTATTATTGACCAATGTCTGTGGCAAATGTCTCAACATTATCCAAGTCAATATTTCTCACATTTGGCACATTTCATCTAAAATGTGGCACTTCATCTGTTCATCTCGCCCTATAACCAATGGCATGACATTCGTAAACAATATGACTTTGTCACATGCTGGGCACATCATGCACACAGGACCTATCTGGACGGGCCCAGCTATAGTTGGGACTTGTGCTATAGTTGGGGCGTAACAAGTCCACAGTTCACTGACATAGCCTGCATTAGACCTTGTTTGAGTAACCAGGACTCTACCATTATCCTTGTCTATGAATCGCCTCTTTTAACATTTGGACATGATTGCTGATATTGTCCAATTGCTAAATTTTGAAAGAAGCAATTTTGTAGAGTCCTCGTTTAATACTCGCGGAGCACCATACTATGGTCCGTAGCCTGTGCTCTGCATGACCATGTCATAGCATGACAGGTTTTACTAATTACCGTCAAAACAGTGTCACCTTCCCAAAAATGCAAGTTTAATCTACAAAAGAGGCATAGAAGTGTAATACTTGGGCTGAAAGAGAGTTTCTAGTACTTAGTTGGAGGCCCAAGATTGATTTTCAAAATGTTTTTTTTCCACACGAAAAAAATGACAACTAGCAGCGTAGCTGTTCGCTGCCATCTTGCCTCCTAGTCATGGAGCTTGGATTGTACCATTTAGGTGTGGATATGCTGTAAATTAAAATACTTTTTAAGAGAGTAAAAATCAATATTATTATAGTAGTAGAAACAACATCATAGATTTTACTTAACACAGTTATCGTCAAAATATGAAAATACAATTATTTGATCTTAAGAAAAATAAAAATATAGTAACTTTAAAGGAAAAGCATTGTTTCTTTATCATATAATATCACCACCAGGCTAGCGTAATGTTATGGTCCCAGTTGCCCCGGCCAGAGGCAACATGGCTGCTGATTTCTGAGCTGGTTCGAAGAAGGCGATGAGGCCAAATTAAAACGGCAATTTTCCTGAGTCTATCCTGTTGTGGTTTAGTCAAAATATCCTTCCAGCAAACATTTTACGGTCGATTACTGCTTCTTTTGATTTTTAACGTGTTTTGGAGGTGTTGACAGTGTGTTGAATGTCCGTTGCGTGTTGACGGTGTGTTGGCGGTAGTTAGTATCTGGTCGGTGTAGGCCTATGTGCTAGAGCAGCACACACCATGTACACTTAAGTCTTAAACTCTTGTACACCTGAAGTCATGGACAATTAGCCCAAAGTGAATAGTATGAATACAGAAACACATCCCTTCCCACTGACCTCTTGTACACGTCGAGCCAACTGCCTATCTCCAGTATAAAATGGCAAATGTCGTTTCCCAGGATTTTCGGTCGACATATTTATAACTGGTCATGGAAACAGAATAGTCCCAGTGAATCCACGTGCACACATGTTGAAATGCAACAACGCCCTCTGTTGACCAACCTTGTTTCTGCATTACACTTGGCTACGGCTTGATAGAGCACACATGCTTGTGGAACCCCCAGCTAGCGGCTTCATGTATTTTCTCGTAGATATGTGCGTGTTACCTTAAAGCCGTTGCCAATTCGTACGCGGCTTTACCACGACAGCAGCTGTCTTCGGTCTCTTTAACAGGCAAAATGGCCACTGGGGTAAGGTTCCACATGGGCTGCAAATGAATCTTCCTAAATCACATCCATCCTTCCATTTTAAAACAGTTATGTAACTGAGTTTTTAACTTAAATTGATAAACTTTTCCGTGATAGTTTATTTTCTCTTGATTCTGTTTCAGAAACTGTACACGTACCCTGACAATTTCCGGGCGTTTAAGATCTTGATCGCTGCTCAGTACAGCGGAGCCAAGATTACCCTTGTGCAAGATCCACCGAGCTTCAAGTTCGGGGAGACCAACAAGTCTCCTGAGTTCCTCAGCAAATTTCCACTTGGAAAGGTGAAACAGAAAGAGTTCCATATACGGACAACACTAGTTTCCCGTAAAATGTTTCAACAACCATCAGAAAGTGATAACATGTCAAACAAAGTGAAATTTAGCTCCCAAGATAGCTCAATTGTAGAATACCCCACCACGTACCCCACACGATCAACCTCATTCATAGCCAGGTACAGGTCAAAATATCACACTCTTCTCAAGGGATTTTCACCTTGTACCCACATAGAGTGGCGAGTTATTCTGCTATTACTCCGAGAAAATTCCGATGCATGTAGGCCCTAGGCCTACTTGAAAAACACATTTTTCCAGACAAGTCTCATAGGTTTGTGCACAGAGGCATCAATTGTTGTCGGTAGGCCTATATGAACACCAACTCAGAATGGATTCATTTTGTTTGAAAGTAGGACAAAGCAATGACTGCAGTAGTTAATTTGTCATACCTTAGCCTAGGCCTACCCCTAGAACTGCAGGGTCCATGACACACCCCATAGTTTCACAGGGTAAATTGGTCATTGACATTTTGGCAATAGGTCTATGCCATGCTTTGAATAAAGTTAAATTGATGATTGAAGTGTAGCATTACATTTTGACTTTTCCACTTCTGGATCAGTGTTGACATGGTTGATCAAAGTTTTGATTTTTTTCCTTTGGAAACTCAAGGAAAGATCACCAATATTTTTCTTATCATAGGCCTTTTTATCTTTTTCGGAGAGAATTTTGTCCAGAACCTAGGTTAACATTTTCCGAATTTGGCAATGAAAAGTAATTCAGTCAAAAAGGAAAGTGGAAATATACTGTACCTGAGAGAAACTGTAGGGACAGATTCTCCTTATACAGACATTACCAACTTTTCCCTGAGGTGGTGTATCAGCTATCAGAAAGTGATAACACGCCTAAAATGTCAAAATAAGTTGGGAAAATATTGAACTCTTTACATAGAAAATACTCAAAGAGTTTTTCAGACCAGTCTTACAGGGGTTGCACATGGGGTGTCACAACCCTTTCTTTATCCACTTGCAGATGCTGTTTTTCACTTGAAAAAAAGTTTAATAATGGGAATAATGGCTAATGTTTAAAAGTAAGTTACACTGCCCAAATGCTGACTCGTGAGTCAGTTGTTCAGTATGTGTGCGTTACAAGTATTTCACATAGCTTTTTCATATACAGGATGAAATATTCCAGAATATAAGTCCAGCATAAACCCCAACAGTCACACACATCGTTTGGCTTACACTACTCAGTACTGCAAAATACTATGTAGTCTGAGCCTGAAGGACCTAGGGCTACAAATGACTACTTCTTGCTAGGTTACTTCCATTGTTACTTGTACAGAGAACAATAAAGTTGTGCATTCATAGTGCCATAGCACTGTATGGTACATTGTTTTATCTATTGTATTTTATGGCTTCAGAAAACAATAAGGTCATGTCCTCTTACAAGTGACAGCACTAAATACTACATTTTACTACAAAGTAGTACTATGTAGTGTTTGGGACTGTGAGGGTGAAAGCTTTGTGGCTACTTTCTAAACTCAGTGGGTGACAAGCAAAACCTGATGGGCCATCAGGTCACTTCTATGGGTTGGAGGACATTACACTTGATATAACAAGTTAACACAAAAAGCAATGGGAACTGCCAAAGTGAGCCACAAGTACACACCTGCTGCCAGAGAGGGTAGTAAGCTTGATGGTGTTATCTGTACAGCTGCCTCTCAATATCACCACACTGTATGCTTACCTCTAATTGATTGCATTGCAGGTGCCTGCCTTTGAAGGAAATGATGGTGTGTGCCTTTTTGAGTCCAATGCCATTGCATACTATGGTGAGCTTAATTAACCTATTGTCCTCCCCATATTGGAACCATGTCTGTGACTAGCATGACAAGAGATTGATCTAAAGCAGTGAAATTAACAGACGGTGCTCAGTTTCACGTTTGAAAGATTGAAAGTTTTGTAAGTTGCGTATTGACACATTGAAATATTCTGGACCGTAAAAGTGATTTAGTCCCAGTTTCAAATGTGGAAGATAAATAGAAGAACCTTAGTAATAAATTCTATTTTTGAAAAGTTGCCAAAGATGAACAAATTCCTTACCACAGTTAGATGCTCTTTCTTCGTGTTTTTTTTAAATGTGTTTTTTTTTTAAACTGTTTATCAATAGATTACCATGAACTTAGTTTCCCCGAAACCTAATTCCACCCAGCCAAACTCAAAATGATGTGAATCTTGTATTTTTTTTTACAATGACATAATTATTGTCCATCTTTCAGTCGCTAACAGCCAGCTGCGTGGAGAGGATACCTTGAGCCAGGCTTATGTCCAGCTGTACGTCAACTTTGCCGACAGTGAGATTCTGCCCGCTGCTTGTAACTGGGTCTTTCCTACACTGGGAATCATGCAGTTCAACAAAGGAGTAAGTAGCAAGCAGGAATGTGTGATGTCTGTGCAGGAGTCTTTTCTAGTGAATATGACTGTCTTGCAGTGTCAGTGACTCGTGAAGCCTGCTGAACTCGATAGAATTGATCCTTTAGAACAGTGAGATTTTTTCTGGATTTCTCATTTGTCTCAAATCTCACCCCTGTAGTCCTCTGGTGCATTGTTGAGGTCACTGTTTGCTGAGGCGTCTCCAATGACTTCATGCATGAAGTTCTTTAATCCAAACCCTCAAGGCCCTTTTGCTAAGCTTATCGTTCCATATTCCTCTTAAATCAATTAATTTAATTAACCCTCCTTCTGTTTTAACCGTCAAAAACAGTTAAAAATGCCTTCCAATTGATTTCCCCCAGTACACTGACGCATATGGGAAATTTGACTGATTTTGAACTGTGTCAAGAATGCATCTTAGCATAGGAAGGTTAATTGGCCCAAATATCATCCAGTGTCTCTCTCTAGTTTGGCTTGATAACATCAAGTTGTGTCACAGTGACAGTCACTTGAATTGCCCTACAAATGACATTCGGTGTTGTGACCTTTCACCCAATAGGTCATGGCATTTTTTTGAATGTAGGGACATTAAATCTAGGATTTTCTGTGTCTGCACGGTTGATTGTCCCTGACAGACCCCGTGTCCTAGAAACAATGCAGTAGTTATCAAGCTCATCCACTGAGCTAGTTCACTGGTCCAAGAGCTTAAATGAGCCACCCAGATTTAATGATTGTCACTTAGGGTCACACAGTGTTCCAAAATTATCCCCCCCCCCAATCTTGGGAAGTACAAAGAGAGTTCTTTGTCTAGCGCCATGGATGACACTACGGTTGTAAGCACAATTACTGTGGCTGCTTTTGACCCTTGTATATATTGCTCTTTCCAGAATACTGAACGAGCTAAAGAGGATATTAAGAAGGCGCTTGGTTACCTTGACGAAGTTCTTAAGACCAGGACCTTCTTGGTGGGAGAAAGAGTCACCCTGGCTGACATCAGTGTTGCCTGCAACCTTCTGCTTTTGTACAAGAGTGTGAGTCCATTTACATGAGGGAGAACTCATAGGTTTTTCATGGATTAATCCTAACCATCCTCAATCCTTTAAAATCCTCTGGGTGGTTTTGGAGGATTAAGGCATCCTAGCCAAAAGGACCTAGGTGGTTAGGGTTAATCCCTACAATCCCAAATGCTGTTAAGTAAGGTTCTTATGCAGGACTAAATGAGTAAGCCGTGGTTTCCCTGCATTCTATCCAAATCAAGACAAGTTTGATTTAACTCTAACCCTACCATGAGCAGCATAGGGTAGCAGGTGTAGAGACTGTTGTGCTTTGTTGCACTGGGAAATCAACAGCAGCCCAAAAAACACCTTCCCAAGTTGAGACAATGGGAGCTGGTCCATGTGAACAATGCTGCTATTGGCTGTTTGGCCTCAGGGAAAAGTGACCTGTTGGATCTTGTACTGGGCAGGCAAGCCACTTAGCAAAGGATGCGTCTGGGTGGGGTTTCTAACCAAAACTCCCTGGAGGGTTAGGGTTAATGGACATGCCAAAGCTAGCAACCACCTCTTTATATGAGGCTTTCTCTCCCAGTGATGTATCAAAAATGCCCCCCCCAAAAAAAAAAAATTAATTAAAATAAATTTGAAAAATAAAAAAAAAGAAACTTTTCATTCGCAAAGTTACTTTGCTCAACATTTTACCACTTCTCTTTTTTGTCATACTTAACCATGCACATATGAATACCTCATGAATACCTGTTTCTCGTTCATCCAACAGGTGCTAGATCCCCAGTTCCGTGCCCCATTCAGAAACGTTACCAGGTGGTTTACTACAGTTGTCAATCAGCCTCAGGCCAAGGCAGTCCTAGGAGAAGTCCAGCTTTGTGAAAAGATGGCACAGTTTGATGGTGAGTTATAGCCTACAGTGTTATAGAACTCAGGCTCATACTTCTACTCGTGTGAGTACTTGTACTCATGTGAGTATGTTTGGAAACCGTTATTCACGAGAATGTACTCTTACATTTGTAGATTCTTTATTTGCATATACATGCACCGTAAAAAGAAGTACAAATCATATACACTGACAAATTACTCACCAACATAGATACAACAAAACATGAATATAAATAAGCCATACCTGTATTCATCTTGAAGTACTCAAACTAGTAACAGTGTACGCATGCTTCATATGAAATTAGGGCAGATTTATAAACCCTTGTGAATGGTCAAATCAGATTTACTTTTCATTTTTAATACTCTGTTCGTACTGATGAAAAAGTACTTGAAATCATGCATCTGCGTCTTTTTAAAAATGCATCTGTACAAAAAGTGATGTAGTCGTGTTTGTATTAGTGGGAAAGTACTCTCTGCCACATTTGGTACAGAAACCCAAAGTCGTTATAAAAAATGTTCTAATTGCTGCACAGGAAAACAGGTGAAAATGAATGCCCTTTAACTGCCGTATGAATGTGTGTTCTTTTATTTTCTCCAGCGAAGAAGTTTGCGGAGTTGTCCGGCAAGAAGGACAAGAAGAAAGAAGAGAAGGAAGCCAAGAAAGAGAGCAAGAAAGAGAGCAAAAAGGCTCAGCCCAAAGCTGCCAAGCCAGATGAGGACGAGGAAGAGGAACGTCCACCACCCGCTCCTAAGGAGAAGAAGGACCCGTTTGCTGATCTTCCGCCGCCGTGAGTGGACCTTCTGTAAATTCTTTTGGGTCTCATGCAGTTCTTTGGGGAGGTTATGTTTAAATTTTGTCCGCTCTGAGTGTTGTATGAGACCATCCTGTAAAAGCCATGTGTCTGGTCATCATTACATGACTGATGGCATTGCCGTGTCCGCACTGCCTTCTGTTACATGCACAAAACAGGGGCTTATTCCGAAGATATCCATTCGAAGCAGCTTTCATAATCACAAATGTTTGGGTGGCAAAGTTATGACTGTGGCTCGGATTGACATTGCATCCCCAGAGAAGCTACTAGCTAGCCATTGAAGCAACGACT